ATTGGATGTGCAATCCTTCGCTCAGACATCAGCACCGGCTCTATCGGTCGCGTCGGAGACCAAACTCTTGTCAACTTTTACGGCCGACAGTAAACCACAACTCACTTCAGATACTCTTATATCTAATGTAGAATTCAGTGAAACAAAGGTTTTATTTAATAAACAAAAATCTAATCTATTTTTATTACTTAATCATAAATTCTAACACAATTATTACTTTTTCTAACTTTTATTGTGTAGAGTTTGGTCAACACTATAGATATCACAGAAATACCAACACTTGGCTGTCTTCTTAAGGTCTAAATATGAGATGTGTATTGAAATTAATATAATTGAAAATAATTTTATTTATTTCGTTTGTATTATTAGATACGAGAAGTTCCAGTGTTTATAAATAACTGGCAAATAACAGAAGTACGAGATGTCTGTCAAAAGTCTAATACTGTGTCCTATGAAGTGATTGATGCAGAAGTGTCTTTGGAAGTGAATAGAGTGACCACTAAAACTAAAATCCCGTCTATTATTCCTATTTCGATACAAACGACTAAATTTTCAACAAATGTTAATAATAACAATAAAATATAGTTTTTCTTATAAATTAATATAACTGTAAGAGAAATATCTTTTAGACATTTGGTGCACAGAATATAACTTTAATAAATGTGTTATTTGTATAATAAAATATCATATTTAATAGTTATCAACTCAACAAAAATCATTAAACAACAATTATTATTAAACTATATTACATTAGTTTATACAATTGTACTAAAATTAATTGATTATAAAATAACACAATTACAAATTTTAAGCACAAATTACTTGAGTTATTAAAAAATATTTAATTAAAATATAGTTAAAATTGCATCTAACACTCATTAGGTGCAATATAAGGGAGTTTTACAAAATAAATACAATTATCTAACATATAAAGAATATTTTATTAGAATATTGTACATTTGTATCACTTACACGACTAAATTTATATTGTATGTGTGAATAATTAGTCCACATTATTTGTTTTATTTATAAATTAACATTTAAATACAATTTTCGATATAAATTAAATTAATTAATACTATACAGTATGGTTTATTAAATATTTTAAATAATGTGGGCCTGGCTAAGATTTATAACAGTAATATGTATAAAGTATATACAAGTACATAAAAGTATGAATATGGGCGTTTAAAAAAATTTAATTAACTACAGTAAAATAAATAATAGAGACACATATGACCATAATGTTAAAGGTTACATAAAAGCATAAATGAAATAAATTCCTTAATTATTTAGTATAACTGTAAGAATATTTGATTTCAGAACTAAAGTACTACAAAATACTATATCTATTTATTATTATATCGCTATTTACTATAAATTGCATTTATTTAATTCAATTAACTCCATGTTACGAATAGTTAAAATTTTATAAATAATAATTTAATTAATAAATTCATTTAATAATAGGGAGAGAGAGAATTGGATAAATATAGGGGTATAGTGTACTGTACTCTCCATAGGCTTATGCATTAATAATGAATACTTTCATTTGGCAAACAGTGGTGTCATTACTTGTGCTAAAGAATCGATATATCGATTGTTGTGATAAACAATCGTCAGAATGGGAACAAAAGCAGTGTTGATTTGCACCTCAATTCAAGCAAAGGATAACCTAACAATATATAGTGTTGAGAGTATTGTGCTTAGGTTGAGGTGGGAATCGGTTATGCATTGCGTTCAATGTTATTCAATGCAACACTCAATACAAAACACGCAAACAATTCAGACATTTGTCGACTAAACCACTCATTAATTACAATATTATTGTTGTTTGCATTTGACGTCTAATACAGGACTCAATCACTCATTGATTGACCATTTAATCAAAACAATAGTCTCTTCGCGTCCATTGAAACACTCAAATGGTATGTAATGTCTCGTAATTATGATTGGATCCACTCTTTTGGTGACAATTTTCTGATTACTCTCTTTGAATGTAAGACTCGTTTTGACGTTCAATACGTTTCACTCGTTTTTCAATTCAATATTTTTAAAATCACTTTATTTTGATTTACATTTAGTTTGTATTGATTTTCATATGAATTACTCGTTAATTTCAATGCAATGAACGCTTTACACGTTTAAATGATTTATTTTTAATTGTCATTTGTTTTCCCAATGAATCCATATTTGAGTGAAATGTTTAGGTTTTTTGTATAGAAATTAATGTTTTAACAAAATGTTATTTTTTTATTGATTTAATGTTGAATTGAATGACAAACAAAAGATTTGTTGCAAAATATCTGCGATATTAAACGCAATGTTTGACTCATTTATGCGTTTATCTAATCATTGAAATCATTATTTGAATGATATATTCAGACGAGTAAATGAGTCGTCAATTAAAGCGTTAATGAATTTTGTGAATATATTTAGTTTTATTAATACATGAATTGTGATTGAATTTACAGAATATACTCCTAATATGTTATGAATACGAGTGTATTAATCAATAAGACGTCGGAAAGTATAGTGAATTTGACGACACAGTCGTCGGTGTCGTCGACCACCAGGTCTTCGGTGGTCGAGACAATGGCCGCCAATTTGCCCAAATTGGCCGACAATATCACAGCCCTTGTGGAACATCCCGGAATATTTCTTCAGTCCACGTCCGCTAAAGTCATTTCCGGCGCTTTCGTATGGATCGCACTCATCATCACTTGTCATCAGGTATTGTCATTATTGACGTTTGCATTCACTTTAACCCAACATTTATACCATTAAACATATCCAATGTCCAGATCTACCAACACTTGCGCTTCTACTCCATGCCATCGGAGCAGAGATGGATTGTTAGGATTCTGTTTATTGTCCCGATCTATGCTCTCGACTCATGGCTTAGTCTTATGTTCTTTAGAGATAATTATTATGTCTATTTCGAAAGCGTTAAGGATTGGTATGAAGGTATGTGTCCACTCAACTCACTTCACTCACAACAACATCTCTAACGTATCTGTATTTGTGTTGAATAGCGTTTGTTATCTACAACTTCTTGAGTTTATGTTATGAGTATTTGGGAGGAGAAGGGAATATAATGACCGAAATCCGCGGTAAACCGATCCGCTCGAGCTGGTGGTACGGCACCTGTTGTCTGTCCGGTCGCACGTATTCCATCGGTTTCCTCCGTTTCTGCAAACAGGCGACACTTCAGTTCTGTGCCGTCAAACCCATGATGTCTATCATTACGCTTGTGTTGCAAGCGTTTGGAAAGTATAAGGACGGCGACTGGAGCGCCGATTCTGGCTATCTTTACATCACAATGATATACAACATCAGCGTTTCTCTGGCTCTCTATGGTATGGTCCTCTTCTATCACGCGA